TGTTATTAAGTCCATATAAGCACCTTTACACGGTGGAATATCCACATCAGATGTTCCCATTAAGATATCGTGCCATGTGAGTAAAAATTAACAAATGGACCAAAAGGGGTCAGATTTTAAACTTTAAGGACCAAAAGGGGAAGTTTTTCAGTACAGGGACCAAAAAGGGTTTTTTTCAATAGTAGAGGGACCAAAAAAGATATTTAATCATTTAAAATTAATTGATAATAAATAGAGTAATCGTTTTTATATTTTCCTTAAGAAATTACTAATTTCTGCCTTTAAGATGTATTTATTATATAATTTTGTAATTAATTTGCATTAAAAAATTTAAAAATAATTTTAATTTATCAACCATTCAATTAAAAATATACATGTGGCATTAATTGGTAATAAAAATAAAGTTAAACTTTGTCATTTTCTATACAAATTAAACGAAAACTACAATTAATGCACCCTTAGGAAATATATTAGACATACCCTTTTAACTTAAATGCTTTTTCGCTATTTGTTTGACGTAAAATTTCCCACTTAATATAACTTAACTGTGAATAAATCTTTTCCTCTCATTTCCCTATCTTTACGTATATTTGAGATTTCTTTGTGGGCTGTTTTCACCTGGGAAAGTGTTTTCGGCACAGCTTGCATTCACCGGTAATCTTAATAATGTACCCTTACATTGAGACCATACATTTAAGGAAAATAAATTTTATTGAGTGATGGCTCCAAAATTTAAACTTGAACCTAACTTTTTAATCTTTTTAGATTGATTATTTACCATTAGATATATCTATATATATATATATTTCTTAAGATTAATCATTTTCAATTATATTAGTGGATGATTAAGGAATATATATTATCAGTTTACCACCTCCGTCTAGGGAATACGTATTATTTTTACTTCTTTCCTAATCTAAAATAAACTGAACATTCTAGAGAAACATGTATTCCTAACTTCGTTGTAAGTTTTTCAATTTTATCTTCTTTTTATGTTTTAACCAATAATAATTATCACTCCAACCAAGTTAATTAGTTCTTGTTATTACTCCAATCAAGTATTATTTTCAATTACCCAATAGGAACAGGTCGTTACTCCAATCAATACTCCCTCACGACTTGACTTATGTCAAATTCGGTCCCAAACTCTGCTTGCTAGTTTTACTTGAAAGAGCATATATGTATGACTTCTCATTGCAATTCCGAACAGGAAACAATAAGAACATATATATTTAAAAATGACACCTATAATATGGCTACATTCTTTAATGAAATTGCTTGGGTAGATGATCTACTATAAAATAGTAGCTAGAAATGAAGCACATCTCAGTGTAATAAAACCAGGCCCGTCTCCAATAAGGATTTATGTAGAGAACTGCAGCTATAGTTATGAGCACCATTATGTAAGACACAACTAAACTCACATAGAAGACACCCATATCAATGAAACCATCATCTTCTCTACCCTGGGTTGGACCTCCTTGGATCAACGGTGGTGGACTTGACACTGAGCAACTTTTCATTGGTTCCCCACAAAGCAAAGGATTACCCTGGTAACAACTTTCATCAAATGTTCCAAATTGCCCGACCCTTTTTGGTGTCTTGCCTGATAGGTTGTTGTATGCCACCCTAAAGGAAGATAAGTAATGCAGCTGAACAAGCTGGGGAGGAATTTTCCCACTCAAATTGTTGTAGGAAAGATCCAAGCTCTCAATTTGCTCAAGTTTAGAAAATGTAGATGGAATTTGACCAACCAAGAAATTATGAGACAAGTTTAGTACATGAATCTTACTAAGGTGCCCAATTTCATAAGGAATTTCACCGGTCAGTTTATTGCAGGACAGGTCTATTCCAGACATGTAGGTGAGAAGTCTTCCCTTGTAAGAATATGACACATTCTTTGTTGTGAAATACACTGGTTCATCTGTAGAAATTGGCTCAGGAGGTTGACCATAAGATGGAGGTTGAGCATAAGATGGAGCTTGAGCTATAGATGGAGCTTGAGCTATAGATGGACCAACTTTGTTAGCCTCATCAAAAGTGGTAATATTTAGGCAAGAAGGTATATGGCCCTTAAGATGGTTTTGAGATAGATCAATCAAGCTCAATTTTTGCAACTTGCATAGCTGAATTGGGATCTCACCTTCAAGATTATTGTTCTTCAAGATAAGATAACTCAACTCGCCAAGCATATGGATGCAATCTGGGATGTTTCCACTTAGCTGGTTGTCACTAAGATCTAGCGTTACAAGAGACGAGCTGTTACAAAATTGTGTTGTTAGCAACCCTTCTAGCCAGTTTTTGGATAAATGAACATGATTTATATCTCTTGGGCTGAAACAAGCTGGCAAACGCCCTGAAATATTGTTATTTGAAAGGTCTAGAATTTCAAGATATTGAAGGTGACAAAAGTTGATAGGAATTGGACCTTCAAGACCATTATTAGGTATGATAATTTCTTGCAAGTATGACATATTACCCATCCAGCTCGGGATCCTTCCAGAGAGATTGTTATTGCTGAAATCTATTGAATACAAATTGGAGCAATTTGATAAGCATTTTGGGATACTTCCAGAAAAGTAATTGCCATTCAACTGTAATTTCTCCAACTGGAATAAGCTAAATTTCTCAGAGAAAATTTGGCCTTGCAGATTGTTGTTTGATAGAATAAGGGACAGTAATGATGAGCAACCCATGGTTAACTTCTTAGGTATTCCACCAGTTAGGTTATTGTGAGATAAGTCCAAAGACATGAGCAACTTCATATCACCAATTGAAGGAGGAATGCTACCAGTAAGAGAATTTCTTGAAATGTTTAAATATCGTAAACTTGGCAAAGATGCTCCAATCTTCATTGGAATATGGTCATCCAAGAAATTTTTGGAGATATCTAGATCTTCCAAACTCATATGAGAATGAGCTAGCAATGTAATTGGTCCAGAGAGGGAATTGTTAACCAGCAAAAGTGTGTTTAACATTGTGTTGTTTTCCAACAACCAAATGGGAAATTTTCCAGTTAGGTTAAGGTGCGAGAGGTCTAAAGTTTCGAGGTCATGTTGAGAGTAGAGGAAGTTTGGAATTCCTTCACAATCTCCGTGACCAACCAAAACTAAGGTCTTTAGTTGGAAAGTTGGTTCCAAGGATTCAATGTTGGTATCTACATAAAATTCAGTGTTGTTAGCATAAATATACTTGAGTTTTGAATGGTTGAAAAATGGTTGAAGAGAGATGGGAATTTGAAAGTGATTGTTTGAAAGCGACAGGTAATGAAGGGATGTCAATTTGTTAAGGGGTGATAGAGCTATATCTCCAGAAAATCTATTTGAATCAAGGCTTAAACTCTGGAGAGAAGTCAAATTTGCCAAACACGAAGGTAAGGGTCCCCCTAAATAATTGCTGCTAATGTCCAACTCTTGAAGATGTGTCAATTCACAGAGGCCTGTGACCCGTATACAACACTTACAAAGTTAGTGAAGTTAGTCATGTAACTTTAAAAAAATATATCGAGTAAAAATAGTAAAATTTGGACAATCGTTCTTATTTCTTTAAATTTGTCACTAACCTGGGCTTGTTAAGGAGCCAGTAAGTCCGCAATCGTATAGTGATAAAACCTTGAGGGAAGTCAATGCTCCAATGCCGTGAAAGAAGTTAGTTGGGAGGATAGAATAATCCAGAAACAACTCTTCCACTTTGGACAAGTTATGAAAACCTAATAAGAAAAGCAATTAATTATGTTCTTGCAATCTTCCGTCATAATTAATAAATTTAGAGAATGGACGTATTTTTCTAAGAAAAATATTCTAAGAAGAAGGAAAAGAAATTACAATAAAGATGAAAATTTACCATAAAAATTTTTAAGCCAATAAAATATAACAAGAAGGCACCATTTTGAAAGGAAAAATTATAATTGTAATTATAAAATGAAGATCAAGCAAGCTTACCTCTTGTACTTGGGTTCATTATTATTGTTCCGAATCCTAGGAACAGAAGTTTTAAAGATGGAAGACTTGCTAAAGATGATAGGATGTTGTAGCTAAAGTTTATTCCTCCACTTAGGTCGAGCACCTCCAAATGGTCAAGTCTTGACAGCTTTTCTAAATCAGCTGTTGTAAATTAACAATAAAGCATGTTGTCCACAAGTGTGTAAGTTTGCTAAGCATAAAACTTAAAATTAAAACTGTACCATAGTTTGATGCTAATAAGTTGTTCGAGCTAGTACTCAAGGATAATAAGATACTATTATTAAATTTATTATCACTTAGATCGAGGATTTTCAAGTTATTTCAACATAGAAATGCTCTTGAAAATTACAGTACATACAATCATTTATTCAGTTTTGGAGCCACATATATATTAAAATGAAATAATAGGACATCAATACCATCAGCAAGGCTGGATGCTTCGAATTCGTCTCTAGTTAGATATAAAACCTTGAGAGATGGAAGCTCACTCAAAGATGATAAGATAAAATTATTTGTCAATATATTGTAACATAGATTGAGAATTGCTAGTTTTTTCAACTTAGGAAACTTCTCGAAACTTCAATACATACAATTTTATTAATTCAATTTTGGAGCCACATATATATTAAGATGAAACAATAAGGAAACAAGTTTCAATAAGTGAAAGATAGACATTTATACCTTCAACACGGCTAGATGCTTGGAGGTTGTTGTTGGCTAGATTTATATATTTGAGAGATAAATGCTCACTCAAATATGGCAAAATGCTATTATTGAAGAAATTTCCTTGCAAGTCAAGGATTTCCAAATTGCTCAACCTCTTTGAAAGCTTAAGAAACCCTACAAGTAGATCACAAGGATTGTAATTTTGGTTCAATTAAAAAAATAACACATAAATAAAATGTAGGATAGGACAACAAGAATGAGATGAAAAAGCTAATCATATACATATTGAAATGCTC